GCGCACACACGCTGGACACACTGATTATTGAGGTGCGTTACGTATCTGAAACTAAAATCAGTGACAATAATGGGGTTGTTAAAAAATCTCTACCTAGCTTGTCCCCTCGTCTTTGGTTGCACTCATCCGAAGAAGCTGGGACAGCACTCAGTGGGCAAGCTGAGGCGGACATCATTCACCGCTACGATGCGGAAGTACCATTGGTTGAATGGATTCTGGTGAGCAGCCGTTTGTGAGCGTTTCACTTGAAGACATAAACGATGGTAGATTTACAAAGATCTACGAGAAGCTGTACGTTTGCTGTTTCCGCTTATTCCCCCAGTGACAGTAGTGTTTAATGTTGCAAAATATAACGCCGACCACGAATTGAACGCCCTACTATGCAGTACACACAGCTATCAAAAGTTTACAAGGGATATGAAAGCGCATGTAGGTCATCTGACCTCGCCAGAATCTCAGTTGGAAGGTAAGTATGCTTAGCTCTGACAGGATGCCTACAGTGTGCGTCTTTCACAGATGTGTGCGGAACACCAGCTGTTTCTAGTGGTAACACTATTACATACAAGAGGCACTGAAGTGCCACCTGGCGTCCACCTAAAGCTGGAAGGCGAGAGACCCAAATTAAGCACCTCACCATAATTTACAGTTGGCGTGATTCCAAACCAGACTGCCACCCTTTCTGGAATAACTGCGTCGCCTCTGATCATGCTTTGGTCTTTTGTCCTTTTTCCGTTAAATGGCGTGGTGGCATACCAAGCGCCTTCCTCGATTGGCAACTGCGCAGTGATCTCAGTCCACGGTCAAGCAGTCCTTCCAGGTTAGCTGCGTACCGAACTTTCGCTCTGACGTCCTATTGACAGTGAGCATCGGTGGAATAAGATCTAGACCGCCATACACGAGAGAATGCCTCTGCTTACAAGCTTATCAGCTGTCAACCTACTAGTCACTGGATATCCGAGTTGGTGAACCTACTGGAATCCAGAAGAAAGCTTCCGGCTATGAGCTCAATGTAACAAGACGAACTATTAGGCATGAACTAAGGCGTAGCCTTAGTGTTGACCAGGAAACCTGGTGGATTGTTCAGGCACAGAGAATGAAGGAGGCCGTAGCAATAAACAATTACAACAACCTATTCTAAACGATTCGCACCAGAGGTCTCAGAAAACCCGGCACCAGGAAAACAATCAGATGCAGCCCGGATGCCCTGATTCACAATAAAAAGCGACATGCTGATTCTTTGGGCCAAGCACTTCTGAGAGCAGTTCATTTTTTCCATCGCTCCGGGACCACTTACTATTCAGATGGTGCACGCTGACACCTGACAGATTAGTTTACAGGCTCCGTTAGCGACTGAGATACGAAACATGGGCACAGCGCCTAATGGTTTTTGTTCTACTGACTCGGGTTCCCCCACATCCGCATCATATAAGGTTGGTAGTGTTGTCTTCTACAATTCACTGACCTACCTGTGCAGTCGGGTATAGAAGGAAGAGGTCATCCCGGCCAACTGTAGTAAATTGATTATAGTAGCAGTATACAAGTAGCACATTCACACCGACTGCGTTAACCACAGTGGTAGTAGCCCAATGCCAGTTGGGACAAAGTTACTGGCTTCAGTATTCGTTCATCGCCTTACTGCGGAGAGGAAATCCAGAATTATGGAAGAACAGGCAGGTTTCCGCCCTGGACTGGGCTGTATAGACTATATGTTCAGTCTAGAGCAAGTGCTAGTGCAGCGCAACATGTACCACAGGCCAACAATAGCCGTGTATCTCGACTTCAAGGGTGCGTACTTCTCAGTCGATCGATCTGTTAGCCATACTTGCGAGGTACAGTGTTCCTATGGAATAGGTGAGTTTAGTGATAGTGATCAAGGCGTCAGCCGTTAACCACTAGGCCCCGAGTTTCACCCCAGCTCAGCCTATCTCCATCTGATGAGACCAAACGGGAACGAAACCGGTCATATTTTGTCAATGTTGGGAAGATCAAATATGAATAAGTTTGTATGAATTATTTTTTACTCTATTGTCGAACATGACAAACCGCGTCAGGTTCTACTGCGCCACATCTTATATATTATTCAGACAACAACTTGCTTTCAGCAGGGTTGTCCAATTTTCATACCTTTATTCAATTTTGTCGTGCACCGTATTATGGATTGTTCGCTTGCGGAGCTTTACGGTGCGCTGTTCAGGTGGTGCCTGATGAAAGGCTAATTGAACACGAATATACGGATACATAGTCTTGCTTTTTAAGGATGTTGGGGCGGCGCATTCAAGACTGAATAACCTTTCTAGCATGGCTGCATCATTTAACATACGCATTGAACCTCCAAATTGCAAGGCATTTTTTGCAAGCCCAACAATCACCTGATGATGCATGAGCTGTTCCTAGCAGGGAACTCAAGGTGGTTGATTGCTTTACTTATATGGAAACTGCATCAGCAACGATGGACTTCTAAGCACTGAAGCCAGTTCGCATACTGTAAAAGACAGAACTGTTTTCTTGAACTCGCGACCTCCGTGACATTAAAAAGGGGCTTTACTCTGTCTGAAGGGCCGTTTACACAATAACACAGTGAGGACTGTCGTACATTGTGGCAATGAAACTTCACCTCACCGGTCTAAGGATCCGCGGCGTTTTCAAATCTGTGATCATCCTCACCTGCAAAGCATTACTGGTGCCCGGTGGCATCAGGGTGACGTAACCATGGTGTGCTCAGACGAGTTCTATGCTTTAAAAATCCGGCTACCATATTACAACAACAGAACACAATGAATAATTTGCGTTTGCTTGGGTAGGTGTTACGTATCCCCGGTCACTGCTTATCTAGAGCTGCCTTGATTTGTTTCCCAGATATGTGTTAGCGCAAGATCCGAGGTGGGAAAACGTTAACTTGATAGCTGAAAACGAAGTCACTGACGACAAAACTCGGTGCCGTCGGTACTATTAGGCTGGAGTCCAAGTGACTCGCCTTGCGCTTAGCTGGAGCAACTACAGCACACGGTTCGAACCCGACACCATTGTCGAACCTGCTCTTGTCTCTTAATCGGACTTCTTGTTTAAAATATAGTTAGTGCTAATTTATGTGGTGGATACTGGATGACTATGACGCAGGGAAGTGAAGGCCTCAAGAAAGCTGTCTCGTAGACGCCGCCTTTTTATTGCACGATAACCAGCTGATAGTGACTGCGTCGTTGACAAGGTGTAAATGTCTTGATCCTAAATGTTTGTTTAGGACGTTAGAACATTATGCTAGTTCCACTTTTCTGCATCTTATTTTTATTCGTTTCGTGGGTCATTATGGTAGAACGGTCATATAGCATTAGTTCAAATACTGACTCCCGGTTTATGATCATGTAGATGTTGAGGGACTCAGGTAATAAGAGTGGCGAAACCCTATGGTTGTTGGCTAGAAAACTGCGGTTATTTGAGCAAAAAAGATAATGGAGTCCTTTTCCTCTTACTGCCTAGGTAAAGGCATGGAGATTTGGTGCTCGATCTCGCTTACCACAAGCATTTGAATCTTTTACGCAAACGTTTGTTGACAGCGTAATGCCAATACAACGCAGTTATCCGATGAAATCGGAGCTTGCTCTCGCACACTTCAACTTTTTGTCTCAAACAAGCTAACCATAGCGCGTTTGAATAAACGTTTGAGTAAAATAAACATTATACAAGTAACATTATACAAGAAAAGCTAGTGCATCTATCACCGGAAAATATTAAATTAAGTATTTATTATATCCTGTTCTGAAGTTCGGTGTTTATATTTGTGTCCTCTATAAGCACACTTTAGGACAAAAGCAAAAGTTAACCGAATCTTGCAAACGCATGCTTGGAGGTCGTTATAAAAATTGTATAACGTAGTACATACTTTGAATGATTACCTTTCTTCTAGCTTTGCTTAAAACAATTAAAATTTCGCCCTCAAAATTATATTTACAAATGAAATGATAGATGATGTTTCGGAAATGGTACGATACTGACTGCTGTAGTTTGCAATTGTTTTCTTTGGTATAGAGAACCGTATCCAGATTACTAGAACTGTTTATTTAACCCGACATGCACGTGAATAGAAATCCTGCTACAGGAATTACGAATATTAGATCATGGTCTATACATGCATGGTTGTTATTGATGAGTAGGTAACAGATACTTTGCGACAAACCACGTAAGTTCTTTGCAATCCGTACAGACCCTTTGAAATAATTCAGAGTAAATTATTTTGTCCATTCTAACATATAGTTATAAGTACAGATGCATTCAGAAATCCATATGTTGGACTTCTCGTAACCCCTTGTTGAAATCAAAGGTCATCACATTTTACACTGAATTTGTACTTGACATAAATGCGTTCGCAACTAACTACGTACCATTAGTATGGTCTACATGCAAATATTACTTTAATATTAAGGAACAAAAAGGCACGAATCAATCATAAACCAAGAATATCAAGGAGCGTTTGAACGCAAGTATACGGAAAACGCAAACCATAATTGTTTTCGTTTTCACATGTCATATTGCTTTTGCCCATGAGCTGTAGTCGTAAACATATGATGTTAAGCAGGCCGAGCTACTTCCTATTTCGGATGTGCACTGTGTCCTATCTTGTTTTGGTCCTAATCCTCCAGGCTCTAACTGCCTGCTCCAACTGTATAGAACTGAAAAACCATCTGTTTTCTTTTATTTTGTTAATATAAATAATTTGTACCGCACAAACTTTTACACCGGGGCCATAAAAGGTGCATGGGGTGCGGTGCAATAAAATCTTAAATAGCAGGCATATTACGTGATCGAGCCCATTTGTCAGTTGTTGTATGCATCTGATACGTTGTAAAATACCGGTGCTACATTTTATTTCGTTTTACATGCAACTGATTATAACATCCGTAGGCATATAAAAATGTTTCTTTGAATGAATTGGTGCATTTCATTGTGTAAGCCGAATAACTAATTTGTTGCTTATTGCTATAATTTTGCACTTTTTTGCGTTGTAGACTGCTCCTGGTAGGATGGCATTTGTCAACCTGTTGGAACAGAAGGTGAGTGAATGTCTCTATGTCGATTTTCGGAGTTACGACTCATTTGTTGTATTCTTATTTCACGTTTCGCTCATCACTACCGCCACTCGTCATGATACATGAAAATTTGGCAACCAACATGTTAACATCAACGCAACACATTTCTTCAACGGCTTAGAACTTTCAGTTTTGAACTTTGTGTTATATGAATAACGGGCACTGGCGTTAATGGTTTGTTTTCCTGAACAACTGCACCCAAGGTACGTTCTTAATGATATGTTCATCTGGTGGAACGTATTATGATCAGAGGAGGGCATGAAACCGAAAGTTTCATTTTTGGAATTAACATTATTGCCATAGCAATATAATGAAAATCGAATCATCATTTTCATTTGCTTAACTTGCTGAGCGAATTCATAAGTCAAGTATTGTATATCTAACACACTTACAGACATCGTGGACTGCGCGAATATATAACGGTAGGAAGTAACAAATTTTCAGCTTTAGAGATTCACAACTGATGCCAACGTCCTTACTGCATCTTTATAAGCTAGTGAAAGTAACATGCCCTTTAGAGTTGCAGTAATGGGTAGAAATCAAGTATTTAGAATCTTTGTTCTCTTGGAGCACTGTCATTTGCTGTTAACGCACTTTTCATTGGTTAACTTCGACCACATTTTTGAAGAGCAACTGGTTTTCTTCCTAGCATAGCTGACCCAAGGGCTGTGAGCAAGTATTCATCGATGATAAAGCTGCATTATCCATAAAGAAAGGCAGCAGTTGCACTCTTAAGTTACATAAAAAAGATGGAATCCAGCACGTTCTAAATACTACTGAAAACAATCGAAACGCTATACACCCCAAAAATTTATCCCTTTTGAATTAGTTGGATCACACAATTATTGTATGACTTATCCTGTCTCCAAAAACCTGTGAATCCTTTGGGAAATCCAACGATAACTTGTGATTAAAAGTGCCATGCTATATCCCAGTTATCATTAAAGTCGTCTAGACTAGCCGACGTCCCCCATGGCTCAGTGGCTTAAGCTGCTGGCTAGTTGGCATGTGCCCCTAGCGGTTATAGGTTCGATCCCCAGTAGTGGACCGAGGGAATGCGCAATGCTGACGAGCTCCAATAAGGCAAACCGCGTGTGGTGCTTTTCCTGACCAAGCTGCGCTATGTAACTTGTGAGCAACTGAGATGAAAACATTCCAATTATGATTAAAATTACTTGTGGATTCGGCGATATGGTTTTAGATTTCAAAACACTTTGCAAATGCTCTAGATGATGTTATAGATACTCAGGAAATCCTCGCGTGTCAGTTCAGCCATCACAGTCACCTGATTAGAGTGCTTTAACGGTTGTTCCACACACGCATCTTTGTACCTACTAAATTGAAGGACCGTTTCCATGAACTTTTCTGATACGACAACTCCTCGAGTCTAAGTGACAAAAGTCCGGGTGCTGGCTTGGTATGGGGGCATGTGCTGACACCGTAGTATATAAAAGCAATCCCGATGGGAAAAGAATAGTCTTGTGGAGAAAACAGTGGCATCAACACTCGAGTTTGCAAATATGCCAGTAGTGATATTGTGAAGTACAGATGAACAGTCAAGTTGTCATTGCGCTTGATGCTACGCTTATAGATATTTTGGCTGTCGTAAGATCAAAACGCATTTATACACAAAATGTATGTTCACACTTGCCTGAATCATTAATATGACTGCAATTGCTGCAATGTATAAATGCTAAAGGTACTGCCTAAAAAGAAACTGCCTAGGAAAGCATAGAAGGAACCAAAGTGGCTTGTGTTTACTGAAAGAATACTTGGTAGAAATCGAATGCATATTACGTGTTACACAATCATCCCTGTTCTAATTTCTTCCGGTCTCACCCTATCTGTCGGCTTGTATATTTTCATGTTATTGTGTTGGCACTGAAGAGACAATACGAAATGTTGGCATCTGTCAGTATTCGTCTTCTTACGGCATTATTCAAAATAACATGTATCTATACTGAATAAAAATCGTTTTTAAGAGACTGTTTAAGGCAAGAAAAACATTTCTTTTAACTTATATTTTGTAATGCGTAAAAGAGAACTGGACGCATAGGAATATAAGGCCTTAGTCGAACGTGAGCGGGTTGCAAGCTATACTTACGCAGGTAGAGCTCAACTGAAAGATAACTTGTTTAGATGTCCACGATTTGCTGCACTGTTCCCATTTCACAATGATTCCATAGGTATCGATGTTAACAAACCCTACGGCATTTCTCCAAGGTGGCTTGATGCAATGTGTATAAATATGTGCATGATGATGCAATGATGATGCATAATGACAGAAATATGCTTGTGATGTGGGGGAAGAAAACCATAGTACCATTGTCAACTTAGTTATCAGACTATTTCCAAGAGGCAGTTTTTCATGAAAAGGAACACCAATTAACTGAGTACAATGCTTCATAATGCTAACAAATCATAATGAGGATAATTTTCTTTATGACAGCTGTGAATGTTTTCAGGATACGATATAGCAACTTTCAAGAACATTAGAAATAGCCGGAAAGTTTAGTACAATTTGCACGAAATAACTACATAACTAACATGTATATTCCACGGCGGTGCAGAGAACAGGCTAATTGGATGTTATGTTCAAGTAATAGAAGGACGTCGTATAGAATGGATAATCGTTCATGTTTTATGCAGTGGAGCCTAAACAGGATTCTTTAAGTGATTAGCAGTTGAAATTATGAGAAATATTAAGAAACTGCGAACAACGACATAATAATGTGTGCATAAAAGTACAAGTAAAGTAATACGGCCATCCATGGAATTGTCTCCATAAAACATGCTTCCATGCAAGGCATTCCATCGAAAGATTTCAGCAGTTGTTCCATGCGTTAACTGTCTGTGTGACGGTGTGGCAAGATTGTAATTCGGACATCACCCATTTACATATTTTAGGTTTGTTAGTTGGCATTCAGGCGAACAGGGTACACAGCACTTCCATCATTCGACAAGTTTGTGCAAGACATTTCATTGTTTATAAAAATGATGACAGCGCACTATGCTTCACAGACTACAGCAACAGAGAGTTAGCTGCAACTTTCCTCGCCTGGAAATAAGCTTTTAGTCTTGAAAGCTGCAACCCGTCACCTAAAGCAATCAACCCATTCGTGGCCAACAATAAAATAAATAATAGCGTAAAATATAGAGTAATTAAAATAAAAACGATTATTTGCATATTTAGTAATTGCAAACACTTTCAAATGGCTAATCTGAAGCTAGTGGAAAATATTTATGAGTGGCGGCGACGGTATAGCAATTTTGTGGCAAGGTATGAATGTTTATCTTCCGCCAGGGATTTGTAAATCATGCAGTATAGCGCACATGATCCAAAGTAAGTCGGCAGCATCCCACAAGGCATGTATGATTTATTGTAATATGAGACCAGTTGAGGCCGTCAGAATGGTAGAATTGACCTCTGATGGCAAAGATCCAATATCCATTTGCTTGGGGGAACATGACAGGAGATAGAGGAAAGAAGAATCAGTTCATCAAGTTAGGCTTAAGGGCGTTTAGAGTTATAATGGAAGTAAAATGCAAGGAGAGGCTAACAATTTGGTGTACCACGTACACAGCTCAGGAGTGCACAAAATCATGCAATCTATACTTCATCAACTAATCATTTCTCCTCAGCAAATAGCTTACAGTATTCCATATATGGTTCTCTGTATGGTTCACTAAAACTTCTTAAGCGGTTTGGTCAGAGAGATGTAAGCTGTCAGGTTCTATGCATAAGTTGCAGTACACTACTAAGAAACAGATCTCTCTTATCCTTATCCGAACTCTAAGGCTTATGTAATATACGTGTGTCCGTAGAACAAGTACGATATAATGATTTTGTAAGGAACCGCTTATAAATACGTGCACCCCAGAGACTTAGGGTCCATCCGGGAGGTTTGTCGGTAAGAGGAGCAAAATCAGATGAACGACCGATAAATAAGGCGCGTAGATTTCTTGGGTTTCATTCCAAACTACATGGTAACAACTAAAGGTTTAAATTTAAGAGATATTCACCACATAAATATTGGTAGCCGCATAATTTGCCATCAAGCAAAGGAAACTACGCCACCGACATCATTAACAACATCTTTGTTTAGATATTTCAATTTACCTCGTCTATAATGAATATGTACGTTATGAGCTACCGCACATTAATCGGCACGTATTTAATGAAATCACCGGAAAACCAACTAGAATGCGCGAAATAATTAACCCGTGAGGCCAAACCACCAAATTTCCATAAGTAGACATTGGCACAAAGCAGTTCAACAAGGTGCGATGGATATTGTTTGAAATTTCGTTACAACCCACTCGGACATGTTATGTTTGGAAATTTGAATCATAAAGCTAATGAGTTGGTGCATGTATTTAAAATAAATTAATGGTTCATCCATTGACTAACATAGACAAAGGTACCGTCTAACCTGTTGAAGCCGTTTAAATGTATTTGCTTACCTCATCCACGTTTTAAACTGTGATCCAGTGGGTCGCCGTGGCACATTACAGTAGACACTAACTGGTACAACATTAATAGATTAAGAACAAGAAAAAATGCACTTAGGTAACTACAAGTGGGCATAGACTGTTTTCTGCAGATTAGTTGTGACCACAACGTAACTTGCTTTTCTGAGCCACGTGCAAAAATATTGAGCAGAATACCTTCAGCAGCCTGTGCAAACAGAGCAAACTTATCCAACTATATAGAGTCAGCATTGTGGTCTTGCCAATAGCCCATTTTAGAATAATATGTACACATTATTTGCCTTGATTTCTTCAAATTAATTTGCGTACAAACCTGCACAAACTCACCATCACACTCTGCTACAATTTTTCTGGGCGGGGAGTAAGAAACCCATCGTCTTTCTCCACAGTCACGGCGCTCGAGGGTTGACTGTGGAACAGGACAATTTTTACTTCCGTGTGTAGGGAAAATATTTCGCTAAACATCATGCAAT